TTTACCAGGCTAATTCTGGGGATGGCGGGTCTGATGTATGATGAGAGATTGACTAGGCTGGGATTGTTTTTCCTGGAGTTCAGATGAATAAGTGTGGTATCTCACAGAGACTTATAAAATTCTAACAGGACTGGACAGGGTAGATGCAGGGAGGATGTTCCTGATCGTAGGTGTGTCCAGAACCAGGGGTCACAGTCTGAGAATTCGGGGTAGACCATTTAGGACGGAGATGAGGAGATATTTCTTCACCCAAAGAGTGGTGATCCTGTGGAATTCATTACCACAGGAAGTAGTTGATGCCAAAACATTGAATGTATTCAAGAGGCGGCTAGATATAGCACTTGGGGCGAATGGGATTAAAGGTTATGGGGAGAAAGCAGGATTAGGCTATTGAGTTGGATGATCAGTCAGGATTGTGAAGAATGGTGGAGCAGGCTCAAAGGGCCGAATGGCTTCCTCCTGCTCCTATCTTCTATGTTTCTATGCATCACAGACCTCTCCCAGCCGACCACCAACCCAGGATTCCAGCTGGTATCTATAAAAAGAGCAAAAAGCAACCTGCTGAGGGATGTTATGACACACCTCTGTCACAGCTTGACTTAAATATTGACTATTTTGCTAAATGGTAGAGAAACTACTGGTATGCCATATTGCCCTTTATTGGTAGGGTTGGGTGTGGGGAAGTAGAGAGAGAGAGGGATAGTGTGCTGGAATTAATTGCAATATTTGGAAATAATTATAAAATGCTTTTTTAAAAAATATATATTTCACTCCATTTGTGCTGCATCACCCAGGAATTGAACCCTGGTCATAGGAATGGGAGTGATGAATTATTCTGCTACACTGATGGTTTCCAGTGTAGTGACATCATTCATCACTCCCATTCCTATGACCAGGGTTCAATTCAGTGTATTTTTAATAATATAATCAAACAATCATGAACAACTTGGAACATCAGATTGTGAAACATTGGTAAAATTGAATGTAGAAGAGCAAGAGGAAAGACAAGGGAACAAACACATTGGCATCTTAAGAAGCAGAATTGGTACAAGATTTGAGAATAAGGTGTTGGCTTCTGTCAAGGTCTGAGAAATTTGGAGAGCTAAGATTGGTGAATTTATAAATTTAGCACCTGAAGGAAAGGTGTGTAAAATAAACATCAGATATAATTTACTACTTAACATTGTCTGGATGACATCTGGATCCTGCGTTTGTCTGTGTGTTTCCATGGTACTTTGCTTTCTCTGAGTGTCAGTGCACGTTATTGTAATTCTGCAGGATGCACTTTCAATTATCCAGTGACACTGAGGCAAAAGGTAATACACTTGTAGCCTTTGTGCTCAGTTTCCATGGTCATTGTCTGTGGTCAGTATCATGGTTTGGTCAGTGTGTGTGGTCAGTGTCCATGGGTGTGAAGCAGTCAATTTCTTCCTTTGGAACTGACAGTTTGATTTTGAAGAGTTTTACAAAAGCAGTAATATGTTCAACATTAATGAAAACAGAAAATGCTGGATAAACTCAGCGGGTCTGGCAGCTTCAGTGGAGAGAAAAACAGAGTTAATATTTTGAGTCTGATATGTCTCTTCTTCAATACTGAATCCATTCTGAAGAAGAGTCATATTGGACTCAACACATTAACAATATTTCTGTCTTCATAGATGTTTCCAAATCTGCTGAGTTTCTCCAGCACTTTGTGTTTCTATTTCTGATCTCCGGGATCTGCAGTATTTTCCACATTGCTCTCCTTATTCCAATCCTGTGTGCAGCTGCCTGTGTATGTGAGAAAAAAAAGGATTTACTTTATACCCAATGACTACATGTAATACTCTACTTCATTCAAAACTGTAAGTTGCCAGAATTCTTTCAACTCCACAAAGTCAAAACCTGCCTAGTATATCATTAATAACACTACTTATAACACTTATTGTCTGATTTTGACCCTGCCTCAGTTCATCTGTAACTGAAGTCCTCCTTCATGCCTTTGATTGTCCTAGACTTTACCATTCTAATGCATTCCCACTTTCTACCCTCTGTAGTTGCAAGTCATCCAAAACTCTGATACCCATGTATTTGTTTTCAGTACAAAGATAAAGGAGACAGACCACCCTGTATTGCCCAATGGTCTGGATACAAAGGATAGAAAGTGATGACATCTCATATCCACTAGATTTCCTTCTGATGGAATCAACTTGTTGAAGGCAGATGGTAGAAGTTAGTTCTGACTGTAATCAACCTGGATTGGAGTCTTTAGTACATGGTCACCATCCAACCTTTCAGGTTTCACAAGATAGCCTGAAATATTGGTATTTGGATACTTTGTCATGTCCCCAGGACCTTCCACTGGGATTGGAAACTGAGGAGATAAACTTGGAGCTTTGAGGACATCTTCCTTACTGGCTCTTGAGCCTGTAAAGCAGAATTCTAAAATCTAGAATTCGTTGCTGAACAACAATCGGCATACAGCCACCTGTAGTTTTTTTTGAAGCCAGGTTTTCAAGTACTTAAGTCAATAAACCTAATCTCTTTGTTCCTTGAAAGCTTTGGTTGGCTGTTTACTCCAAAGTCATTTGATTTAGATAAAACCCTGAAAATGTCCAAATCATTCTGTATCTTCAATTTTTTCCTCTGAGCCCTTAAATATAAATATGTATTCCCAGCAGTGCACAGAAGTTGTTAAGCAGATGTATGCTTAAGCAGATATATAGATTCTGATAGAACGGGTGAAGAATCTGTTGTCTCTCAAAAATGATGGTTTTCAGTTATTTCAATATTCTGTTCTCATTTTAAGGAAACACTGTCAATGTGGATCAGTGTGCTCCAGACAAACATTGTAATTTTTGTTATAATCCCAGGATCAAAGGAGGGTTGTTACAGAAATAAACTGTTCTCTCATCATAAACTGGGAATTCCTGGGAATTCGCTGCTTGTTGATATTGTTATAGGTCATTGGAAATGTTTGATTTGATTTATTGTAGTAATGTGTACGTAAGTACAGTGAAAAGCTTTGTTTGTGAGCAGTACAGGCAGATCACAGTAAGCAAGGACATACAGATCATAGGGTGTGTAGACAGAGAGAGGCAAACAAGGTTACAGTGCACAGGAAGTGTGCAGAGCAAGATCAACATTGACAAGATCAACATTAGTTGAAGTTAGAGAGTTCATTCATTTGTTTAATAACAGCAGGGAAGAAGCTGTTCTTGAACCTGCTGGTGCATGTGTTCAAGCTTCTGTATCTTCTGCCTGATGGAAGAGGTTGTAGGGAAAGCATTACTGGGGTTGGAGGGGGCTTTGATGATATTGGCAGCCTTTCCGCAGCAATGAGAAGTGTAAATGGAGAATTCGGGATTTTCTTTTTCTCCTTGCTAGTCCTGAGCACTGAGTTCAGTTACAATACTCCTATGATCAACCCTGTAGTATTAAGAACACTGATTCATTGCAATCAATTTGGATCTCTGCCTGCTCTTCCTCAGAATGATGGTGAAGTTGACCGTGAGTGAACATTCAGTGAGCAGAAACAGGGTCAACTTTAGCATTGAGAAAAATCCACATTTAAACCCATTGTTCTGAAATGGAGCAGACTGGCACCTTGCCACAGGCTTTAAAAATCTAAACCTTATCTTTAGAAAATCATTTTGCCTGGATTTAGTGGGTGGGAAAATGGAGTAGATGCCATAATCTGATCAGATGTAAACTTATCAACAGTCTGGGACAGGCTTGAGGGCTTAGATGGTCTCCTCCCACTCTTACCTCTGCAACCTTATGTTCCTCCAATGGCTCAGCGACCAAATGCACTGTCTGAAGTATGTTTCTTGTGCTATCAGCAACAAGCAGCATTTTGCAAAATCTTTCAAATGGTTTTTGTTATTTGTTAATAAACACAAAATATTTTGGTTGAAGACCCAGTTCCTGAGCACGTGTGGCTAGTTATTCCTTTTTTATTTTCTTTCTACAACTCCAACAGCACTGAAGAAGCTCCACACCATCCAGGACAAAGTAGCTGCTTGATTGGCACCACATCAATCGCCTTCAATATTCACTGCCTTCACCACCAGAGCACAGTGGCAGCAGTGTGTGACATTTACAGAATGCACTGTGGTGATTTACCTAGGCTGCTACGCGTTAGAAGGACAAGGGCAACAAATACATGGGAACGCCACTCCCTGCAAATTCCCCTCCAAGCCACTCACCACCCTGACTTGGAAATATATCGCCGTTCCTTCGCTGTCGCTGGGTCATAATGCTGGAATTCCCTCTTTTACAGTACAGCAGTGCCTACAGCATATGGACTGCAGCTGTTCAAAAAGGTGATACCCACATGCTGTGAACGATTTTTAATAAAAAATAAAACTGGTCTCCGGGTGCCCACCAAGGGGTGATAGACAAATAAAAACCGAAAGAACTGCTAAAAATCAGAAACAAAAACAGAAATCGCTGGAAAAGCTCAGCCGGTCTGGCAGCATCCGTGGAGAGAAATCAGAGATAACGTTTCAGGTCCAGTGACCCTTCCTCTGAACGAAATAGATTAATTAAGATGTTAACACTCTGAGAGAGTATCCCCGTCCATTCTCGAACTCTACGGAATAATTCATGAACAAAGTATTTGGAAGTAGGTTTCGCACTCCCTTCCGCCATTCGGTTACAATTCAACACATCAAAACGTTAGGCTTCAATATTCGAAATTTGACTACAAGTGCAATAACGTTTAAGAAGTGAGGGGAATATTTATCAGTCAGCAGTGAGTTAATGATTTGAATGTAAAATACAAACAGTGACCAACTTTGGAGGTAAATAGAAAATTCAAGAGAGAGAAAGGAGATAAGTAAATTCCAGGATCTGTTTTTTTTTGCTGGAATAAGTGCCGGAAGTTAATTTAGAAAATCAGACGCAAAATAAATCTTGAATGTTTACTCGGTGCTGGGGGATCTGAGAAAGGCTCTGTGTGGTCCCTTTAAGATGACAGGGCGGTTCTGTATAGAATACCAGGCAGTTGCAGAGTGAGTCTGAGCTGAGCTTCCTGATTTAGTGTTACCTCCAAGCTCCCAGTGGAAAGTTCCTGGTGCTCGGGCACGGAGATGGAGCCTCCAGCAGAAGCAGCAGCTGATCCGGAGCAGGATGACCATCTGAGCCGGGTGAAAGCGCTGACAGCAAAGTTAAAGCTGCAGACCCGCAGACCCTCGTTCGCGGAATGGCAGCAGAAACTGGAGAGCGAGCCGTGGAAAAGTAGCGAGAGCTGGGAGCCCCACTCGGCACCAGCCAGTGACAGTAATGTGAGCCTGACCCAGGGATTGTACACAAACAGTGACATCTCCCTGACCAGCATCTGTGGCTTCGCCAATATCGGAGAAGCTTTAGATTGGCTGAGGAAAGAGCTGGTGAGTATTGGAAAGTGATAAATCAGGATTCCACATTTTACTCTAGCTTGGCCGGGGGTGTCTTTGATAACAAAAAGTGGCCATGTGATTTACTGACAAAGAATTTAATCATTTCTCTCAACTTTTTCGAGTTATTTAAAAATACGAAAAACTTGTCAGAACACATGCTCTGTTGCCACATAGTGCTCCCCCTGCTTTAGCTCACCTTTAGAAATGCTGTGGGTTTGGAGATCAGACAGAAATTAATGATCTCACTGCCTCCCTCCCCTCTCAGACCGCTGCCTGCGATGTCAAACCTACCTCTCCCTGTTTTTGGCAGCACACAGTGTTCAGATTTGCGGTCCGTGCCTGCTCTGATCCCAGGCACATTCCCAGGCTCCTGCCTGTGGGGTGGAGGAGGAGAAGCTACAGAGGGGCTCAGTCCGACCTTTTCAAACGGGGGAAAGGGCACAAGAGGTTCCTACATCCCGTCACAGCTTAACCCTGTGCGATACTGTCTTGGAGCAGGTTGGTTTTTGTTTGACCGAGCGGATTCCCCCATTCCCTTCCCGACATTGATAAGCTGCCCTGCAATATCCCCGAGTGATTGCCCTCTATCCTAGGGCAGGACCGTCCAGCAGGAGCCGCGTTCAACCAGAAAGTCACCGTTTGCAAAGGCAGATGTAGCCGTAGGGAAGGGAAGGATTTTGAACCTGGATTTGAAAAGAAAAGTGGTCCAGGCAGCATCAGGGGAGCAGGAAAGTTGACGTTTCGGGCGGGGACCCTTCTTCAGCCCACTTCTTCATCCAGCTCTACACCTTGTTATCTCTGACTCCAGCATCGGCAATTCTTACTGTCTCTCTTGGAAAGGAAAGTGAAGGGAGATTCTATCTGAATGGTCTGTAAACTTGCAGCCCGCTCCGCGGGATTTGCTCTGATACTGTTTTGGAGAGATACCTGCCCCAGCTCTCACAGCTCCCATTAAAGAAGGATCCTCCAGTATTTTCCCGTCCTAAAACCGAACCTCAGTGTGAGCAGGTCAGAGCAGGGCAGCCCCTGAAAGAAATGCAGACCCAACCCTATCCCCGCTGATACTTTATTTCAGTCTCTTCCATTACAGATGGAGTCAGTTTGGGGACAGGGCTATCTTACAGACACTTTCCTCTGAAGTTGATTTTTAATCTATGACTCACAAAAACTTTGGTCAAATGCTTTACGTCAGCCTTTTTGTTATTTTTCTGCAGAGGGCCAACTCCCATACAATTAATTCCGGAAATATTCAAAATGGGTATAGGTGTTTTCAATCAACCTGCTCAGAAATGTTATTACACAGCTCCTGGCTCCGCGGTAGGGACGCTACCACTGCCCCACAAAAGCCCCCCTCAGAAATGGCGACAGTTTTAATCAACCTGCTGAGACACATTGTGACTGGCTGGGATAGGTGGAACTTGAACGCAGACCCTCCAGCCGAGAGTTGGGATACTACCACTACACCACAAGAGCCCTCAGAATGTGTATACGTATTTTTCTAAACAACCTTTTCAGATATGTTTTTACACGCATCTGGAGCAAGTCGGACTTGAATCCAAGTATCTTAGGTCCAGGGCAGGCGCACTACCGCTGTTCCACAAGAGCCTTCAGAATGGGTATAACAATTCACTCACTGTTTGCTACACCTGATGCTTGAGCCTTCAGGTGATCTGATGTGAATTTGCTGTTGCCCCTCTTATTTGACTGAGTGTAACCTGTAAAACGCTGAGGTCTCAGCGCAGCACAAAACTGTGTAGGACTCTATTCATTGTATCTGCCAATTGGCCAAAGAACCATTTATACTGGCTTCAGCCAGCCTGCCTCCATGTTACCATTTTAGTCCCCTACACCATATGCTTCTATTTCGGGAAATGACATCTATAACCCTGTCAAATGTAAATACAGTTTGTTTACAGGTTCCTCTTTCCCCACAGTGCGTGTAACTCATTCAAACGTTCTATTAAATTGAGCCATAGAATTCCTACAGCAAGGAAGTAGGCCATTCAGCCTATACTAACCCTGTGAAGAGCATCCCACACTATCCCTGTAACCCCACATTACCAATGGTCAATCCACCTAGCCTGCACATCTTTAAACTGTGGGAGGAATCTGGAGCACCCGGAGGAAACCCGCACAGACACGGGGAGAATGTGAAAACTCCACATAGACAGTCGCCTGAGGATGGAATCAAACCTGGCACTCTCGTACTGAGGCAACAGTGCTAGCCACTGAGCCACCGTGCTACCCCTAACTAAAATGCCTTCTCTTTCACAAAATCATTTGCACTCGTCCCAATTATCTTTACTTTTTCTAATTGCCCAGTTAAAGCTTCATTAATGATCATTTCTAATACCTTCATTGAGTAAAGGTGCCTTTACTCTGATATAATTATTTAATCATGTCACATTCCGCAATACCACGTCTATTATAATCTGCACTCCTGCTTGTTCCAGAGCATGTTGCTCTGAGAAATGATTTCAAAAGCATTTCACTCTCCCTTCCTTGTTTCAATTGTTGCACTCCCTGCACATGAATAAGAGAAAAAAGTGGACTGAATTAGAAACAAGCAAACTAAAATAAAAGTTGCATTCATATAGCCCTTTTCAATTAACAAAATATTTTTGAACATTTGGAGTGTAGTTAATTTGATAGATTAGGAAAGGGAGTAACCAAGTTGCACAAGGAAGATGGTGCAGACAGTCCTGGGTAATGACCAGACTATCTGTGTTAGCTATATGGGTTAAAGGAGAAATATTTGCTCAGGGACACAAAGGGAGCTCTCCTACTCTTCTTGAAATAGTGCCATGGAATCTTTCTCATCCACCTGACAGGGTAGATAGGCTTCCGTTTAATTCTCAAATAAAGGCAAAGTATTGGATGCTGGAGATTCAAAATCAAAACTTCCACTGATGCTCAATTTTAAAGTTCTCCAAGCCACTCCTTATCCAAAGAAATTCTATAGTTTGAGATTCTACCTCTTTAATGAGACAACCCTTGACGTATTTCCCAGATTTCTGATGAAACTCAATTGGCTTTTCTGTGTGTTAATACTTTGGAAATGTTTGATAGCAGCTTTGGTATTCATGTTTAGAATTAAAGAATATTGCATTTCTAACTGTCCTCAATGGTTGCTGCTTGTGATTGGTAGGTTCAGTGGAATCAACAGACATATTTCTCACTTCTTCTTCTTCATTGAAGGGGTGGGACTCCACAAAGAGGTGGCATGCATGGTATCACCATCATGGTCAAAGAGTGTGACCAGATCCGGGAGGTCTTCATCCAACAGATGATCTGCCTCTGTGGCCATTACATTCTCTCCCACTCTGTCCTCAAAGAGTAAATTAAAATGTTGGACTTCACTTAGTGGCTGCATGATGATACAATAGCTTTAAGAAATGTGTTTTATGCTTTTTTTTAAGTAAAGAATGATTGAAACAGAGGTGCAAAGCCAATGAAGTAACAACTTGTGAGGCTTTGGAATTTCTTATTAAATTGGAACAATAGAAGCAACCTGAATGGGTGGGCTCTAGATCCCACAGAACCATGATTTTTAGTTTTAGCTTGCAACTGTTGCTGGAATCTTGAGGCGGGATATGGAAGCTCTTATTCCTCTCTCGGTTATAGCTAAAAGCTGGGGTTCTCTTCTGGCTGCTAGAATTGCATGTGAGACAATCTATTTTACTGAATTTGCCTTTGCCAAGGGTGTGTTTATGGGATGTTACTATATTGGAACAGTTAATCAGTAGTAGTTTATATATATTATTTTGTTAAGCATTTCACTAGAGTTACAGTTAAGCCAATTCTTTCCTTTTATTTTTATTTTGTCTGTACTTTAACTGTAGTGTAAAATAAAGTGTGTTTTGCTTAACGTCGAGTAGTTTAACCAATTGAATTGGATCTGGAACGCAACATCGTACACTTACCTTTAAAACAAGAAAACGTTAGTGTCTAGACTATCTTCTTAATATATTTTGAGGGGGTTTGGTCTGGTCTGTAACAGCCGGTTCCCGATATCCTCACTGCATCCTTCTTCTAGGTATTCTTCAAAGAGAATGAAAGATTAGCATCCTCCTCCTGTGATCATAGGGATGGGAGTTCCATCAATAATGTCTGACTCTGTTGGAAATTAATCCAGTTTAATCCCGATTGGCCAATGACTGAAGAAAGTTCATAAAAATGTAAAGTCTGACATCCAGAGAGATGCCGAGTTTGCTTTTGTCTGCTAATTGCGAAGAATTTCTAGAAGCAGCCATCTTGCCCATTCTGTGTTCGATAGTAGCCATTTAAATCCAGCAAGAGGCCAATTTAAAAAAAGGAATGAAAATCAGACAAAATAGTTTAAAAACAGTTTTGGATCATTGCATTGCTGTTGTCTGGACAATACATCGGCAAAAGTGTGCTGTCTTGGAGCCATCATCTCCAACTTGGTCATGTTTGTGAACCTAAAGACTTTCACCATCTCTGTGAGACAGCAGTCACCGTGTGAGGGAGGACTGCCTGTCCATCATTGCTTCTGGTTCATGTTGTGGTAGGAAAGCTCCACACCAGTGCCCTGTGACTCACCAGTGATGCTGAATGCCACATATAGCATAAGGTAGACCATTTTCAGGTGGTTTGATGAAATTGTGAGAGATTTCTACCTACAACACTGATGTTTAAAAATAGACCCTATCAGCCTACGACTGCCCAAGGTGAAAATGCTACCAAAAAACAAGCGATAGCCTTATTCGGTGGGGTACATGTGGTAGACCCACAAGATCGTTTTTCATGGTTAATATTTCAAAACCTAATTTTAAACTGGAGTCAGTGACTGAAACTCAGAGATAGCAAGAACTACTGATGCTGGAGTCTGAGATAACACAGTGTGGAGCTGGAGGAACACAGCAGGCCAGGCAACATCAGAGGAGCAGGAAAGCTGACATTTTGGGTCAGGACCCTTCTTCAGAAATCAGAACTCTGAGATTTCTGAAGAAGGGTCCCGACCCGAAACATCAGCTTTCCTGCTCCTGAGTGACTGAAACTGTTAGGTTTGAACAGTTTTAATTATTAGTCAGTCTGTTTATAAGACCAGAAAAGAACGTCACATAAGTAGTCCCTGGCTAAAATAAAACCTGCTTCTGATCTCAATCTCTCTCATAAGTCTGGTTCCTGGAAAGAATCCTTTATTTTGCTTGCAAGGTGAACCGATTCCTAATTTACAATTACTGTACTTTCAACTAGAATTCAATGCACCTGAGTTTCTGCAAAAGTGATTTCTGTCTGCAGTCAACTGAGAAACCTCCACTGAACTGTGTATGTGTGTGTGTGTGTGTGTGTGTGTGTGTGTCTGTTTTTGTGTGTTGCAAGCCATTCCTTCAAATTTTGAATGGGTTAATAAGCCCTACTTTGTTTTAACCGTAAGGAATTTGCTGTGGGTCATTTTGGAAATTGGAATTCACAGAAAGGGTTTGTGAAACACACCATCTCTATTTTATAAAAGAGAAAAGAAAATAAATTAAAACTCAGCTCTGTTACAGATAAAATAAGTTAACAATAAGATAATTTAAACTTAAAAACAGGATGGTCTGCGTGTAAAGTACAGCCTAATTGGTCAACTGTTTTTCTTTAGATAAAGTCTGGTCTTCTTCAGACTGTACAAATTCTGATAGAGCTTCATCCAGCACCCTGTTCCCATGTGAGCTCATCTTTTAAAGATTCATACTGGCAGTTATTTGCAAAGCAGTATTAATAATTTATAAAATAGATCAATGGCTCTTCCTGGTTCCTGATTGCACTAATTAAACTTTGCTCGATCCATGGTGGATTGTGCCTTAATCTGAAGCATAAGTTAAAGGTCGGGTTTTCCCTATCATTGTATTTTACATTTTCTTCATTTATGCCCAATGTCTGATGAGGATGGTATTCACTGTGCTGCTGATTGTGTAGTTGGACCTGAAATTTGTCCAGCTTTATGTCAAGGCCTGAAGCGGTGCGGTATTTGCTGAGGTTTCAGCAATGCTGATTTATCCAATACCTGTCTGGTCAGGAATTGCTGCCTGGTCCAGATGATCTGGTAAAGACAAGACTTTTCCCATCATTAGATACACTTGCTATGTGGGTGATGGCAACCTAAACCTTTTTGCTTTCTCGCTCATTTTCAGCTTCTGTGAGTTTCCTACCTTGCACAGTTTTCCCTTTCTGTGAAGACCACTGATGTACAGTACTTCATTACTCACTGTGGCTGATTGATTTTCATGCTGCTTATTGTCTGGATTCTTCTTCTCTGCTGTCTGGTGCCCCGTTGGATCTCTGTCACCTGCTGCTACCTGTTTCTCTGGGCTTCCCATCAAGTTACATCCCCTCTTCTGTGTTTGAATCATTGGGCTGGCCTCATTCCTCCCTCACAGCACTGTGCTGCTGCTGGGCTTCTCTTCTGCTAGCCTCTCATTCTGTGGGTCTGGTCACTTTCAGCCACCAGGTAGTAAGATTAGCGTGGCACTCAGGTGAGTGAACACCAGCTGGTTTTATTAAATGCAAGTACATCCATGGGATGGTTCGAGAGGACTGGCTTCTGGAGCCTTACAGATCTATGTTCCACCTCCATATGATCTGGCATTGCTATGACATAGTGCCTCCTGTACTTACTCAGTAACTATTTTCAGAGTAAAAGTATAGTTAATCCTTACTCTACAGAGCTGGAATAGTGATTACATAACTAAAGAAAAGATACTTTACTGCACCATGATTTTGGTGTTTGGAGAGCATAAAGTTCAGATGATTACTAAAAGAACTAGACAGTTTGCTAAATTCTGCCTTTTAACCATATGGATTGCAAATGATTCAAGAAGACAGCTCATCACCATCTTCTCAAGAGCAGCTAGAGACAGGCATTAAATGCTGGCCCAGCCAACAACACCAATGTCCAATGGGTGAATTTAAACAAAAAATCTATCAAGGTATCTGTGCTCCTCCAACTGCAGCATCTTGAGCACTCTGCAAGTCTTCAACCACCTCTGGCAGCTTTACTGTCTGCTACCTCGACCTCTCCTCCCCTCTGTCCTCCTTTGACATGCTCTAAAACCAACTCTTTCGACTCATCTTTTGGCCATCTGTCTCCTTATTTAGTTTACTGTTGATGGTTTTCTAATTCTACTTCTGTGAAGAGATTCCAATCTGATATAAACACAATTTTGACCCATAGGGAATAGGCAGGAAAGTGGAGTTGAGGCTGTGGTCATGTTGATATTGGAGTAGGCCCAAAGGACTATGATCTATTCCTTCTCCAATTTATGCTCTTACAAAATGCTCAATTAGTTTTCTTATGTTAAAGGTACCAGGTAAATGCAAGTTGCCTTTGTTGCTGTTCCAAGAGAATTTTTTTATGTAGATACATTAGGAAGTGGAGTTCCCAAGTAGAAAGGCAGCTCTACACAGAAACTCTAAAAACTTGTAAAAAAGAAGTAATAAATATAGATGTTTTTAAAACATCGAAATTTTACAGGATTTCAGGGAAATAGCAGGAGAATGGGGCCAAAAAGCCAGTACTTTCATAGAAGCAGCAAAGATGGAATTATCAAAAATCCAATGATTTTATCTGCAGATCTGAGATATAGTGATCTGTAATTTTGACTCCCAAAAAATTAAATAATATTTTATCTGGTTTTGAGTAACATTTTACTACTGGCAAATTCATGGAACCATCTTCCAAATTAAATACTGTTAACATTTTTTCCATTTGGTTTGACTTCTCTTCAAAGTGAGAATGCTTTCATTAGTAAATATTTATCGCTTTGCTTTATTCTTTCAGCGAGAGATGCAGTCGTCAGATCACCAACTCGCTCGGAAGCTCATTTGTCTCAGGAGAGAGATTCACAGACTAAAGGTGGAGCAGATCTGTCATCAGCACAAGGAGATGTTGGATGATGTAACATACGGACTGGAGGAATGTGAAGAAGAGTCGGACTTGCTCTTGGATATTCCGCTGAAAGCTGTTTTCAGTCTCTCCACACCACTCAAACATATAGGGGTGACTAAAATGAACATTAACTCCAGAAGGTTCTCTCTTTCCTGATCTAACACAGAGCCAATTAATCTTTAGACTACTAATAAACAAAAGTTTGATCACACTGTGAGGGAATTGAGCATTGCAACACTGCCTGTAGATTATTGTTGGAGTCAATTTTCAACCCCACTCCAATTAAAAGTCCTGTTACATGAATTTGGATAGTCTCATGGGTCACATGCAGTGTGGAACTGAAGGTTGTGCAGTTTGATGAAGCTAGGATGATGAGGGTAATGTTGATGGAGCTATGCATTGTATTTGTTTTGTGCTTTGCCTCACTGACGAATGTTATTAGTGATGAGGGTAATTGTAGCCTAATTAAATTCTCAAGGGCCATCGACATTAACACATGGACAAATAAAGCCCTAAATCTTGCAGATTATTCTGTACATTAACATTGATTATAATCTGCTCTGTCAATAGCAGAGATAATTAGATTTATCTGTATTTTTATTCATATTTTTGTTAGAAATATGATCATGTAAAATCAAGTACTAGTAATCCAACTAGGGCACTGCACTGTTATTGGAAAATTGATTTCAGTATAATTGGTAAACTTCCAAAAAATGCCTCAAAGCTAATAAAATTATATCATAAAGTGCTTTACATTTTCATTCTGCATGAGACCTAGGGTGAACTGAAGCATGATAAGTGCAAGCAAGGTCTACCGGTATGTTGTTGCTGGTGGGAAACTACAGTTTATGAAGGTGACAGCCAGGAATTGAAAGTAAATCCTGGCATATTTTTTGAGAATCTGCATTTCTGTTTTGGAATTAACTGCTTTTCAACTGACTGCTGAGGGGAAACAGAATTCCTTTAGTTAAAAAAGAGCTATTTTTGAATCAACCCATTCAGAGATGTCATTACACATCTCTGGAACAGGTGGGATTGAACCCAGGCCTCCTGGCTCAAAGGTAGGAATACTACCACTGCACCACAAGTGTCCTTACAGTTTTAGCAATTAAACACTCTATGCCAGGATAAAAATAGAGCAAGTTTCACACACACCCCCACCCCCAAACCCGATAGTTCATGGTATAAGTGAAGAATTTGTGTTGTATTTTGCTCATTTGTTTGGAAGGAGAAACACACAAAACAAGCTCATCACCAAAACTTACCGAATGTTTGATCAGTCAACAGAGACAGAATTGGTTCTGGCACAAATGCCATTTCCACTCCCATCTTCTCAGATAATTGTGTTCCCAGAAAAGAGAGATTTTGACTCTGGGGCTGTCACAGCAAAATGCTTTCTTATGACCATTCCATGATTCTGATTCAATCTTTTCCAAAAAATAATCGGTCCACTTTATTTGACTGTACAGTTGGTTCTGCTATAACGTGATAGTTCTGTTCCTGTGCAACATCGCGTTATAGAAAATCGCGCTATGGAAATAACGAAGTCTATGGGAAATGCAGAGTTAGGGGCAGTCCATCAAAAAAATCACTCAACATTGCTCAAAAATCACTCAAAAGCCAAACACAAAGGAAAGCACAGTTTGAATAAATGTTTAATTCGTATCTAACAACGAAATAAAAGTAAATTTAATACCTTAATATGAAAAAAATGTTAAGATGACTTGATGTGGGAGGAAGTTTTGAGATTGCTCTGTTGTTAATGCAGGGGCTGAGGGTCATCATTGTCATCATCATCGTCACCTTCAGGTGCATTTGTGGTTGCAGGGTTAGAGCAAAAAATAGTTAATCCAGAAGTGGTTGGCCGTGGTTCATTGTCTTCTGACTGTTTCTTGGGGTTGGCTTAAAAATGACATCCAGTTTTTGCTGCTTTGCCCTTTTTCTTCTTTCATGAAGAAGCTGTTCATAGGGTGCCCAATAAGATCTTATTCCACGAACTGCTATCTTGCTGCATTCTGCATTGTAATCACTGTCCTCTAAGAGCTGCACCTGCTTCTCAATTTCCCTCAGGATAAAAGACAAAACAGAAGTGGAAAGCTCTCATGGTGCTGCATCCTGGACTTCATCTTCTTCATCTCCAGCTTCCACTCCTCCTCAGCAACATATGCCCCCCATGATCCAACCTCTTTTGCTTAACCTAAAGTAGATACCTCGAGTAAATGTAAGGTAACCTTCCAAGGCTCGCAAGTTGGCAGAGTGATACACCAGCACAGGCCTAAGCTTTAAGTCTCCACTGGCATTGGCACCCAGCAGCGCCGTCATACAATCCTTTGCCTGAAGCGTGTGCTTCATTCGTAGAAATGTAGGTTCTTGTTGACATTCACTTCCAGTATAAACCTGTCTCATCCAAATTGAAGACAAGACAACAAGGTGCAGGGCTGGATGAACACAGCAGGCCAAGCAGCATCATAGGAGCAGAGAGGCTGACGTTTCGGGCCTAGACCCTTCATCAGAAAAGGGGGAGGGGAAGGGGGTTTTGAAATAAATAGGGAGAGAGTGGGAGGCGGATAGAAGAGGGATAGAGGAGAGGATAGGTGGAGAGGAAACAAACAGGTCGAAGAGGCGGGGATGGGGCCAGTAAAGGTGAGTGTAGGTGGGGAGTTAGGGAGGGGATAGGTCAGTCCAGGGAGGACGGACAGGTCAAGGGGGCGGGATGAGGTTGGTCGGTAGGAGATGGAGGTGCGGCTTGAGGTGGGAGGAGGGGATAGGTGGGAGGAAGAACAGGTTAGGGAGGCAGGGACGAGCTGGACTGGTTTTGGGATGCGGTAGGGGGAGGGGAGATTTTGAAACTTGATCTAAGTTGTAGCCTTCTTTGTCAATTAATTTTTTTACTCTGGGAGGAAATGCCATCGCATGCTCCTCGTCAGCACTGGCAGCTTTGCCACATAACTTTATGTTATGTAAAGCATGGCGGTTCTTAAAACCAGCCACTGCTAGCACTTAAAGGCAGGCATATTTGCAAGATTTTCAGCTTCTTTTGTTAGATCTTCACAAATTGATAAGACTTCGTCTTTTTGGTGAGAAAGTTAGTCCCAGATTGCTTTTTCATTTGCTCTTCTATCCACACATTTAGAAGCTGCTCCATCTCCTCAAGTTACTTTGTGCATGTCCTCACAGATTTGCTAGCACTCAGACTTGTTCCAGCAGTACAGCTTGCTTTAATCTTCTCTGCATTGTCTCTAATGGTGCGTAAGGTACACTCCTTCATTCCTGTTACGTGAACTATATCACATGTTCTCTTATTACATTCAAAACACTTTATAACATCAAGCTTCTCCTCCAACGTTATAGACTTTCTTCTACATTCACCACCTACAATATTATCACCAGGATGCTTCTTGCTAACATTCTTGTCACTTTGTCTTCACATTTTTGTGGGTAACACAGCAAAATTTGCAAAAAAAGATGAAAATCCCCGGGTCCTGATGGTTTCCATATGGGGGTTGGGAGGGGGGTGTTAGAAGCAATAGGAAGCACATTGTAGACACCCTGACTGTAATCTTTCAGAGATCCCCGACAAAGGAGCCATCCCTCTGGATTGGAAAATTGCACATGTCACTCCACTTTTTCAGAAGGGCAAAAGAGGAAAACCAGGGAGTTATAGAGCAGTTAGCCCCACATCAGTGGTGGGGGAGTTGTTGGAGTCTATGATCAAGGATGGGGTAACTGAGCATCTTGTGGGAGAGGTTTGGAACTTTCTTCCACAAATGTGGAATTTATTCCACATTCAATTTTAAATTTGAGATAGATAATTTTTTATTAAGCAGAGGCACTAAGGGATATGGGTATATGAAGTTAGGTCACAGATCAGCCATGATCTCATTGAATGTTGGAACAGGCTTGAGGGGCTGAACAGCCTATATTCCAATGTCCTTAGATGCTACTTAACTTTGTAGTTTTTGACCAAGTGGTTTACTCATTTCCTAATATCTCTTCCTTTGGATCAAAGTGAAGATGGTCTCATTGCTCTCCTATTAATGGTTAATGTTGTTGATGTTTTTTCCAGTTATTTTCACCCTCTTTTTGCCTTGATCTTGTGCATCCTCCTGGACAGTCAGCATAACAAATTGTGGATTATTTCTCATTATTTTTTCATTTTACTTACGAAAGGCTGGATCTTATAGTTTTTGACTATCTGTGACGGTGTCCCTGAGCACCTATTGTCCTTGCTGTGGCATTACAAGGAGAGTTACTGGGCTGCTCGAAGGGCAACATTGAAGGGCAAAGTGTCCTGTAAGTGGATTGGAAATGAGTCAGAAGGGTTGTTTGAGGCTGGCGCAGGTCACATGCCAATGTCCCTGGACATGGGTTGTGTGTAGCTAGTACCCATGGAGCCTGCCCTCAGAAATTGGTAGCGCCTGGTGTCCAACATGGAGGTTCTTTGGAGCAAGCAGTGAGCTAAAGTCACCAGGTACCTACTCTAACCTGTGTGTGGAGATTTCTTGATGTCCAACTTGATCAATGTATTTGGTAAGATAGCAATCTGAACAGTAATGTGATAGAATACTCCCTACTTGCCTGGATGGGTGCAGATCCAACAAAACTCAGGAAGCTCAACACCATTCAGAACAATGCAGACGGCTTGATTGGCATCACATCCACAAACATCCAATCTCTCCAACACTGACGCTCAGTAGCAGCAGTGCATACTATTCAGAAGCTGCACTGTAGAAATTCACCAAAGATCCTCAGATAGTACATTCCAAACCCACAATAACTTCCAACTAGAAGGATAAGGGCGGCAGAAACATAGGAACACCACCAGCTGCAAGTTCCCCTCTGAGCCACTCACCATCCTGACTTGGAAATATATAATTGTTCCTTCACTGTTGCTGGGTCAAAATGGAATTCACTCCCTAACAGTATTGTGGGTCAACCTAAAGCACATGGTTCAAGAAGGCAGCTCACCACCACCTTCTCAAGGGCAACTAGGAATGGGTAATAAATGCTGGCCTAGTCAACGATATCCACATCCTGGGAGTGGATAAAAAAAAGCTTTCTTAAATTAACTAAAAGAGTGAATTTATTAATCAATACATACAAGAAGAATTACTAATGCAATACAGACAGAAACAGATCAGAAATAGGAGGGATGTCTAAAAAAATAAAAGTTAAAGAAAAGCTGCACAGATATGTCTTTGAATCATTCGTGAACAGCAGATAAGGTGACATTGAGGACAATAGTAAACAGATAATTTTCCAGTTTCTTGGTTTTAAGCTGAAAAAAAATCCTTTTTACTGTTTTTTAAAATTGATTTATAGCGCATGGAGTGAGAATTTTATTACTTGCAACACTGAGTAACGAGGGGATAATTTCCTGACTGTGACTTTTACAGCTAACCAACACTCAAACCCTGGTAAGTACACATGAGAGAGTTCAGTCTTACTTCAGTAGATTCAAAATTAACTTTTTCACCCCTATCCTCTTGTATTCTTCAAAGGAAAAAAATGAAATATGTCTCCAGTTTGGAACATAATCTTCAGACGGTAACTTGCTGGTGAGCAGGGGATCATTGACCCCTCAGTATCTTTGTCACCAAAAGAGATAACTGCCCAACCTGTTTGAAATTTTATTCACACTTCAGAAGTTACATTCCATGTGTCTCACTCTCTCTCTCTCCCCAGACGGCCACTTAATTTACATGCACAGCCATTTCTGATTGTATCCGCCCTCTTTTTAAAAATGCATTTTACAATTACAAACGTTAAAGACATCCATAGTATTTTGGATCAGAGATAGTAGGAAGTGCAGATGCTGGAGAATCCGAGACAACAAGGTGCAGGGCTGGATGAACACAGCAGGCCAAGCAGCATCATAGGAGCAGAGAGGCTGA